AAGAGAGAGAGAGAGAGAGAGAGAGAGAGAGAGAGAGAGAGAGAGAGAGAGAGAGAGAAAACAAGATATTGCTAAGCCGCTAAACTGCCCAAGGCTGCGCTCAAGCTAGCTGGTATTACAAACTTCTGTCACCAGGCCCGGCTGTATTTACTGATTACTTATTTTAAAGCACACCATGAGTCTGTTGGACGCGTAAATGGTTTTGTCCCTTCAGAACTTAGCCTTCCTTTTTCATAATACATTCTGTGCCCTTAGTAACATCCTGAAGTTCGCCCGGAATTTGCTTTCCGGAAAAGTTTCTTTAAAAAGCAGCTCCTGGCTCACAACTGAAAGTACGTTTGCAGCGCTGCGCCAAACCTCCCTCCTGCTAGGCCAGGGGAGGACGGCTAGTGCGCAGGCGCGAAGGATGCAGCGCGGCCGCAAAAGGTAGAGCCCAGATGCAAAATTGTGCTCCGACACTCCCGCGAGATTTCCCAACCCTCCCACGAGATTTGGGAGCTTCCAGAGCGCGCTGCTGTGTTTCACCCCAAATTGCTCGGTCCTGCCTTTATAGTGTACCTGCAAGAGCATGTTGAGCGTCACCGTGCCCGCAACGTGGAAAAATAGAAAGTTCAGGCACAGCTGCTGGAACAGCTCAAAGGAGAACAAGGTGCGAAAGTGTCCCCTGCCAAAGACCTCCAAGGGGGCATCGCTGCCGAGCTTGAGGTCCTGACCACCGAGGAGGGCGGTGCTGCAGCCGGGGCTGTAGACGTGTTGTCACCGTCCGCCCAGCGCCTGCAAATCGATGGTCACCAGTAGGCTGGGAGATGAGGCGGCTGCCTGCCCGCCTGCGGTACGCGTTAGAGATGTATGCAGATAAAACATGGGTCATTAGATAGCTGGGAGGGAGATAGTTACAAGTGGAGCGTGCTCCCCATCCTGCCACCGTCATGGAAATAGGCTTTCTGCCTAGAACTGACAATGCTGTGCCGCCCCTTCCCTGCCCCCACCACATCCTTCTTCCCGCCTCACCTGGGGGCTGGACCCCTCCCTCTGCTCCTCTCAGTGGTTCAGGTGCAGCTTCGTGGCCTTCTCCTGGAGGCTGGCGTCCAGGATGCTGCGGAACAGCCTGCTGCTGGCCCTGCATGTTTGCCGAGATAAAGAATAGTGACCCCTGTGTGTTCGTTCAGCTTCCAGGCCATACCGCCAGGCGCTAATGCAAAGGATCTTCTTTGGAAATGCTCACATTCCAGATATAAAAAGTCAGCTTTTTAAAATAACGTATTGCAGCAGCCAGACATTGTGGTACATGCCTGTAATTCTTAGCACTGGGGAGGCTGAGGCAAAAGAATCACTGAATTCGAGGCTAGCCTGGGCTCCACAACGAGTTTGAGGCCAGCCTGAACCCTGTTGCCTGACCCTGTCTCACAAAATAAAAATAAAGATAACATATTGCAATACTCAAGCGTCAGTGTCTGGTTAATTCACTTAGCTTTATAGTTTCAAGATGCATATTTTCCTACAAACAACCCATCTTAATCCTTTATGACTGTGCTGCACTCCCTTGTGTTTAGAGAAACCTGAAGTATAAGTAACTTGTAGAGCAAAGTAAAAGATAACAGGAAACAAGGAGGTAGACATCTTGCAAATGGGAAGGGGATCTAGAGATGGAGGGAGGGAAGGGGAAGTAAAAAAGGTTAAGATGTGACATGTACCAGCTCCCCACAGTGAATATATTCATTATGTATCCCAAGCATGTACTAACAAAAAATAAAACGTGCTGATAACCTTTCTTAAAAACAACATTTCATCTTGTGCGGTAGTTGCTAGGGAAATGAAAAAGTAGAACAAAGAGGACTGGGAGTGATTGAGAAAGTGGGGTGTAAAGAGACCAGGTTGCACCAATTAAGAGAGGCAATGGGAAGTACAGTGAGGGGCCGACATGGAATCAAGATCTGAAGGAGAGGAGTGAATTAGCAGAGTTACACAAGCCATAGATGGAGACAGGAATATTCAGAAGTCCTTAGGCATTTTTATTCTTAGTGGGAAATTTTGAATGTTATAGGGCTCACTGCCACCACTCCAGGTGCCTCAGCTTGGGCAGCATCACGATGGCGTGCTCGGCCTCGGGCTCGTGTCCTGGCCCTTCCAGTCATTGTAGTCCTGAAGGCGATGACCTGCAAAGGGGAAACCCTTAGGGAACACAGGTTGCCTGGTAAGTCTTTCAACTATTACTTCAAGAAAGGAAATGGGTTACTAATGAAACACCAACAGGATTGACTGCTCCTGAGTTGACACAAGAGTGTCCCTGTCATGGTAAAGTTGCCCCAAACACATGAGAAAATTGTTGACTTCATTCTTTTTCCCCTGTAGACTCAGCAGATGGTCTGGATTACTTGTGTACTTCTTCTATGAGTCAGATAAATACTGAGTTCTTCCCACCTAACGTGCATTCGCAGAGCATAGAATCCCTGGACCCCTAGTAGCACTCCATACCTGTCCTTGAGCCACTGAGAGAGACTTGACTTCTCTACAGTTCTTGGGCCTTGCCCCCATAGCTC